TTGTATTTAATTATTTGTAAATAATTTCTTTGAGACTGCAATTACCAGGAATTGAACTCGTGTCCTGCCAAAATTGAAGCTGAATCAGTGCACCTTAACTAATGACCCAAAGCCGTACTTGGTTTTTTGTTCTCATATTTTTCTGGCGTTTTGTTCCTTTGCTGTAAAAGTTTTATTAACAAATTTAGTTATTAACAAAATCATAAACCAGCTGTAGAATAATTGAATTAATTAATTACACTTTTTAAAAATATTTGTTAAAGTTCAATACCATTCTGTTTGGAGAGGCATTATTGGTTGCATGATTAATACATTCTTTCTTATGTATAGAATCTAATCTATGAACGCAACATTGAGAAAGTCATGCTAATGTTACTCCACGAGTCACACGGGCGAGACCAATATTTTGTGAATATAAGTTGTAATTTAAAATCAAATTTTTCAGATGGAAGTGATTATTATATTTAATATAAACTTGTATATTTCATAAAGAGGTTTTTGAAACAGTAGTGAACTATAACAACAAAAATTCTTTTTATATTATTTTAATTAATTGAATTTTTGGCAGACCATACAGCTGATTTAAGTATTTATATTAACAATATTATATTTCTAATTTAGAAGTCAAACATTGCTTATTAAATAATTTTTAAAACAAATTTATTGCTATTAGATTAGATTGTTTAGAGTAGATTAGATTATTTTTTAAATAGCAAACTAAATACAACGTTAAATAAATGGAAATAAATCTTGTCCATGTATTTAAGGTAATTACTCAGTTAATCTTCACAGAAGTTTATTATCCTTTGTGGGGTCCTGTAGCTTTCACTATTCAAATATGTTAGCAACGTATTTTCGCAGACACTGGTATCAGTACCGCGGTAAAGCTCATATAGCTTATAATTCTATTCAATTATTACAATCACTTTGATTATGACAATTTAATCGATTCGATTCATTGTCAAGGTGTATAGAACTACAGATCTTTTGAAGATTTGAATTTTTTTTTGAAAATTTGAAAATCTTTTAAATATTTTTTTTCTTGAAATTTTCTGATGTTTTCTTATCACTGTATGTTGTTGTCCTAGTTTCTTGAACATACACCAGGACAAGCATGATAGAGACTAGTGGGGAACGATTTTCTTTTGAGAGAGCTCAATTTTATGAAGAAAGTACTCTGTTTTGTTATTATTGAACAAAACATCTATTTGCTACGATATGTTTTTTATGTTGGAAAATGCCAACTGACGATTGTTCAGGTTAACAATTTAACGCATCAATATACGCTAATATAAGATAATTTTAAATGCTCGCATAGGGTAAATGCTGACGAATGAATGCTGATGAGTTCCAATAAGTTACTTTCTGAATAACTTAAACTTATCAAGGGATTTAATCTTGTGCATTAGCATATGTGGATTACAAAGACAGTCTAATTACTAAGTACTTGCTTGTTATAAAATAAAATTCAATCATTCAAACGATCTTTCGCAAGATTTTTGAATGTGGTGAGTTGAAAAATCGTTGGCAGAATTGCCCTGTAGGACTAATTATATAGATTAATCAAATAAATGTTGCAGCTTTTTAGATTAGGAAGATTAGTTCTTAGTTTTATGCTGATTAGAAACGTCTATAATGGAATAGTTTCGTATTATAGATTGAGAGTCAGCAAACAATATATTTAGCTAGGGGATTTAATACTTTTTGAATTACAAGGCAAGGTTTAAATGTAAAATATTATATTACAAAAAATTTCGAATTTAGTTATATTCTTTAGTTTAATATATCTTTCCAGTTATAATTTGCATTATTAAGTTCTCTATCTATAGTTCTGGGCCATGTTTGTGCTGGTGCGCCAGGTCTTCTAGCACCTTGGGGGTTCCATTGGAGTGCTGTTCTTGCAATATGGTTCGTAGGTCTTCGAAGTGTGTGAACAATCCAAGGCCATTTGCGTCGACCAATCTGAACTGCAACGGTTTCTTGTCGTGTATGGCTCCACAAGTCTTCATTTCTTATTCTTTCAGGCCATCTTATACCAAGTATTCTGCGCAAGCACTTGTTTATGAAGGGGTGTATTTTTGACTCAATGCGATTGGAAGTTTTCCATGTTTCACAGCCATAGAAGAGAACAGATTTTATGTTTGATTCGAAGATGCAGAGTTTTGTTTTACGAGATATTTGGGTCGATGTCCATATACATATTTCTCAAAACACATAACACAATTCTAAATAAAATTAATTATAGTAAGAAAAAATCCATACATAATATTTGCTTGTCACTAATTATAAATACATATGCAAATAGTGATCGGATTTTTTTTGTTATGTTGCATTTCAGATATTATTGCAATAGATAGCAATGTGTGTACTGATTGTCTGCACTGCCTTGCATCAATTATAAAATGCATTTATTCCTCGTTTAAAATTAAATTTGTTTGTAAATTATGTAGAAATGCCCGTCAGTCATATTTTTAACTGATTGAGTGATTCATCGACTGACAAAATTGACAACTAAAGCTTTATATCTTTGGATTGAACAATATCAACAATTGAGGTTGATACTGTCAGAATATTTTGCCGAATTGTGGCATGCAATGAATTCAGTTTACGTGCATGCTACATACAATGACGGGTATATACATAAACGTATACGAGTATATATGATATGTTGCATATATTTTATTGCCAATTCATCTTATCGAGACTTTTTCACAATTGCAGCTGCTGGAATTGTTAACCGCTGGAAGGCAGAATTATATTGCTTCAGGTTGCATCTAGACTTGTAGCTGCCAATGTTGACTGACTCAGCGATTGAATGCAAAATATTGTTATAAATGATGAACGAACACTTGAAAAGTGCAATCATATCAAATTGAATGTTATTGTTAGTGTTATTGCTGGCATGAAGGATATGGTAATAAACTATTTTGGCATTATTGCTTCAAGTGGCTATAAGTTATGCACAAACAGGACTAAATTATGTGCACTCATGCCGTCAAGGTATTGATTATGACTTCCAAATTTGTGCAGATCATATTACTAACACCTGCAGCATGGCAATATTTTACCATTGCACCAGATTTGCTTAACTTTTGGATGTGATTTATATGCATAGCAGATTACGATATCAGGATATTTAAACTGACCATGCCACTTGAATGGGTGAATTATTGAATATATTTATAAGATTTTTAAATACTTAAATACCAAACTTTAAAAATACAAAAATTATGTTATGCAAGTTAAAAGTATAAAAAATAAATTAAATTGGGTGTTTCATGTCAAAGGAACATAAAATTACCAGATTCCTCCCTCATCTAAATGAAAATAACCTTAGTAGACAGTGAATTTTGAATATTTAATAAAAACAGTATTTTAAAGAAAATTACAAAAAAAAGATTATAAAAGGATAAATAACTAAAAAATAAATATATTATTTTCGAATTTTAATTATAAGGTATTGTTTTATAAATACTCCTTCTTCAATTGGGATGTTGGCAGTCACAATTATTAAATTTATTTATTTATCTGTTATAAATATGAAAGTTCGTGTAAAATACTTTGAAATGAAATATATGATATATAAAAGATAAAATAAAATAAAAACTAATTAATGTTGGCCATAAAATTGAGTACGCCATTCTATCTTGATTTATATGAATTTTTTTTAATTCAGTCAATTTACGGATTTTTGTAACCCATGGTATTTGCATGGGTTCCTATACCTATATTTTTCTTCTATTCTTACCTGTAGTATCATTTGTAGCAGCTTATATTTAGTACTACGGAGGAGATACTTTAAAAAAGCTGTCTATAAGCAGTTCTCACCCTTTTTGATAACGTTTTAGAATTTATTCATTTCTTCCATTACCGGTCCAAAGTATCTTTAGTAAATGTCGATAGACGGTAGCATTGTATTTTAAAGGCTCTTATTTTCTTTATTGTGATAACTTTTAGGTGTCAATACTCTACTCTATATAATAAAACGAAACATATACAATATTTCATGCATAGTATTTGTATTTTGTATTCCATTTATGGTTAGTTAGAACACTTACAAAATTGAAGAAAGCATTTCTGGCAAACGTTATTCGATACCTTATTACCTTATCCGACTACAACATGGTCCTGATTTTATGATCTGCCAACAATCTTGAATTTTGAAATCAAACCATATAAAGTGGTGCTCCTCATATGTACGCACGTACACTCATACGTATCCAAAAAAGCGTTATCTCCTTCAAAGAACTATTTATGATGTTTTAATATACTTACATTATATAATTTCTTATTTATGACTTAAACCAATTAAAATCTTGGCTTCATCTATAGACATATTCGTAATTAAACTAATTAATGGAGAAGTTAGCATTTTAAGAATTATTTATAGGTGATATAACAATCCTTGTATTTTTTTAACTTCTTGCCATTTTATGCTTCATAATTCCATCGGTGTAGAACTTTTGTGTTTTATCGGTAAAAAAACTTGACCAAGTGATTTTCAGCGGCTCTTCGCTTTTTTTGGTTTTGCAGAGACTGAAACAAATTGCAGTTAGGCAGTGCGAAGTCCGGGCTTATCTTTGAACGTTTCCAGTATACACACTATTATAGGAAAAAAAGCATAAGCAACAAAAATGTAAAGAATAATTATGGGGCAGGTGCATTCGATGACTTTCTTTATTTGAAAATGACATTGGTCCATTGTGACACCATATAATTGTGTTAGGACTCCTTATTGCATTAATAAAACTCATTCAACCACTTTGTTGATATAAAAATTTGTAGTTATTTTATTAGATCCATGTTGGCAACATATGATTTACTTTCCAAGGAACTGTAACTCCAGTTGGGATTCAAGTTTAATCAATCCCAAGATGGTACACAAATTATATGCTTGCCGACCTGATGAGTCATTTCTTTTAAAGATTTGAAATAATTGCTACAATTAACTTCGCATTTGAATCATAGAGTTTAAAACTTTGATAGGCTGCTTGATTATCAAACTAAATATAACTGTGGTTGTGATCAATAGTAATTTATTAATTTCTGAATATTAAGGTCTTCTGCCTAGAAGGCATCTATATAAAAGTAATTTTAGTTTATATATGAAAGTTAGTCTTGTTTAAATAGTAGTAGAAACAGTGTTGTATTTTTTGAAATCATCTGTATCTATCAGTCATATATGTATGTTTGGAAAAAATGTATTGTTTGTATTGTTGGTAAATGTAATCGCTTAAATGATTGGGTTAGAGGATTAAGTGATTTCCGTCAAGTATTGTATTGAAGTGTTATAATGAATAGAGAAAAATTTAACTGCCTTGAAATTTGTAGAAAAATCGTCGATAGGATGATGTTTCTGATGTTTTTGTTTCTTTTCAATGATAGAAGTAACTGCTTATGAAATTTGATAGGTAAGGTTAAATTAATCTGGTTGACCGTAAGCCCAGCATAGACCTAAACAACCATATTGATTTTATAGTAGCCGTTTTTGGAAATCTATGGAGTATTTAATCTCAAGAAATTTTTCTAAACTATTTGAAGTGTGTTTTTACACGAGACATTAAGTTTGAATCCAGATCCTGTATTCCGCAGTTTCAGCACACACGCATAGCGCTATTAGGATGAACAGAGGTTTATATAATTTGATATGCTGTTAAATACTTTATATTACCATATACAGTAAATATTTTTTTGTGACATATATCTACTCATTTTAATTAAACAAAACATTCAATTAAAGAAGGTCAATGAAAATTTTTTATTAACCCATTTTTAATTAAATATGTGATGAACGTCCAAACTTTCTCTTTTCTTAATATTCTTACGTTTTGAGGTTTTAAATGTTTTTTAAATATTTATATTCGATATTTATTTAACTTTTTACGATTTATTAACTGTTTATTGTTTTCACTATTTCAGTTCATTGATCTGAATAAGTTTTTTATTGTTAGTTAGCAAGTTACATACAATCTTACAACACGTGCTTTTATTAATTAACATTAAACAAAATATCAAATGAAATTCTTACTTTGGCTTATATTTTTGTTTGAAAAAAATTTAAAACATTCAATATTAATCATTCAGTCAGAAAACTGTTGGCACAATGTTAGCTTATGTATCTGTCCGTTTGATATTATTACCAATCAGTGTTGTAGTTTACTTCTTGCCCGTATACAATAGTTTTTTATTATATCCAGCGGCAACAGTATTTCAAGTAAGTATACTTCGGTTTTTAAAGCATGTAAAAAAATAACAAAAAATACTTTTAAGATAACAACTTCCGTCTCTGCACCCATTGAGTTACCTGGTCGGAAGATATATTTAGATTGGGGCTTGCAACAACAATATGATATGCCTTATAATGTATCACAGTTCACAAGTGTAGCAATATGGCCATATTCACGCAAATATGCAAGAGACTTGGATTTTGTCAACAAAACTACAGATTTGCGAGTTAATGGAGGCGAATATGGTGAGGATTCCTCTGGTAGAAAGATACATTCAAAGGATTTCACAGCTGGAGAATTGTATCGAAGTTTTGAGGATCTTTTGGTAAGGTTGGTTCTTTAACATTTATTTAAGTTAATTCTATATATATTTTATTTAAATTTTGTTTATAAAATTGTTCACTGTAATTTTAGTTACGATTTTCATGAGACTTGCTTGCTGCGTAGTGTTTGTGAATTGGCTAGACATCCTTTTGCTGAAGAACAGCAAAATATTTTGACCGAAGTTCTTACATTTTTCTTGACGTGAGTTATTTGATTATTTTTGAAATAAAAATTTTATGTGAGTATATGACAATTTCAAATTTTTAGACCATCATTGCATGAGAGTTTTGCAAAAAATGAAGATCTTTATCGTGAAGTGTACGAAGAAGCTGAGCAGTGTGGTTTTCTGGGTGAAAATTGCTCTGAAATTTATAATGAATGTAAACAGGATTTAATAAGTGCTGTGACAAAAATTGTGACTTAAGTAAATTTAATGTGGAATACTATAAATAAATATGTGGATAACTCTATGCTGTTTTTATTATTATTATTAAAAGTTTAAAGCGTGAAATCGCCCACCTGCCGGTACTGCTGCCAGAAGAGTCTTATTGTACCAATTTCACTATAGATTAGACAAGCCCCTTAAAGCTTTGTGAACAAAGTCTAGAACTAAATCTAGAGAAGAGTTCTTAATCTGTTCTGGTGACTCAAATTCCATAGGAATCAAGTTTGTTTTGTGCATTATTAAAGATGTACAGTCACTAAGAATATGCATGGTAGTTTCCTCATCTTCGAGGCATAATCTGCATTCCGGATTAACAGATAATTGTAGTTTATGAAAGTAATATTTCAGACTATAATACCTGTAATGAAACCCGTTAACAACCTTAAATTACATTTTGAGAATTTAAGGATGTCTTTGTAGGAGTACGGTGTTATCCTACACTTAAAGCAGTAATGTCATGTATTTAGGAATTCATTTACAACAAAAAAGTTAAAGTTTAACAAAATTTTGTGCTATAGTGAAAATCTCAAGTGTCTATAGAACTTAAAAACTATTTTAGTACTCATGTCATCATTTTAAATTCCTGACTTACGATTTTGCTTTGTTGTTTTAATTTTAATATAGAAACGGTATTATATACCATTCTTTGTTCATAATGAGCTAAGTGATTATGGTATGGCATTTGGTCAGGACTTGTGATAGGCCCACATTTTTTTCAAAATGACGACGGTGTAACATAAATTCTATAAATTAACGAAAATAAATTGAAGATTCGCCATAATGTCATAAGCCACACAATTCTTCCTGTACCTGAACGTGTTACTTTATATTTTGATGAGTTGAAGTGAACACAGGGATAATTATCACACTCTTCACGGTTTGCAAACGAACCTCCCCCAAGTTATAGGACATTTAGTGCTAGGTATGTGGCTATGTGGCTACAAGATCCCAAAAATAAAGTAAAAAAAAAAAAATTGATCGAAATCTCAATGAAAAGTGTGTTTTAATTACGTTTTCTCTTGAAATTACAAAATGAATAGATTTCACAACTTTTATAAGTCTGTGCCATCTTGTTTGATACTGTATTCACACGACAGTTTTGATTGTAATTTTGGTTTTAAGTTGGTAAGCTAAAACCAGCAGGAACCAGCAGAAAAAGAGGTGGTCGTCCTCTTCAAAACGATGGAAAGACAGTCGAAAACGATGGAAAGACAGTGTGCAGCAGGACATATATATAATGAATATAAGAAATTGGAATAGAAAAGCAAAAAACAGTGAAGAATAGAAGACTGTTGTTAAATAGGCTTAGGTCGTACATGGACTCTATAGGCACGGATGATGAAACCAAAGCGACAAGCGAAACTATCGTGTGAATACAGTAGAAGTATAGTTGCAAATACAGTCAAACTTCCATAACTCGAAGTCCAATTTTGCAAAGACTTATGTTCGACTTATGGAGACTTCGAGTTAGAAAATTTTTTTATTTTTTTTTTATTTTTGAAAGAAACTAGAATTATATTTTAAGATATTGATTTATTTATTTAAAATCAAATACAGCACAGAAGTTATAGTGAAGTGAAATAATTAGAAATTAGTGCAAAATGCAGTAATACTTAAAACAAAAATTCGACTTATAGAATGTATTTTCCCATATTCCTGTCGGCACGGAACAAAATTTTTGTTCGAGTTATAGAAGATCGAGTTATGGAAGCAGAATTGTATGTAATTTGCTCTCTAAAAATTTGGTGCACTGTTTTTGGTTCGAGTTATAGAAAATTCGAGTTATAGAGTTTCGATTTATGGAAGTTTGACTGTATTAAGTAATGATTCCCATCTAGTCTAATTGACTTGTTATATTATATCGTAAGCTAAGTTGTTATTTTTATAATTTATATAATAATAATTTGATCGATAATAGATACTGATTAAAATAAATAAATTTATTTACAGCGAACCTCAAGGCAATTGCGAAAAATTTTTAATTTAAATATTTTTCGCTCGAAATTAATTTGAATATATTAGTTTAAAATGTGGAAAAACATCTATAATAACAATTTACTGGGATTTGTTGGTCGGTTGACTGGTACAACTATTTTCATACCTAATTAAAAGTTTTTAGTTTTTGTTAAACGTGTTATTGGCATTTTGCCAACCATGCACCATTGTAATATTGTTTACGGCATAATTAAGTAGCTCATGCGTGTGTCATCTCATTAGCGCGTATCCATATGTCAACATGTCAATATTGGTGTATGCAGCCAATCAGCACTACGTCCAATTAAAACTTGGTTTTGCGGTTAAGCATAGTCACAGCGAAACAAAGTTGTAAAAATGTAGCAGAAACGTTATTAATGCACTGCGAAATGCCGCTGTTTAAAGACTCACTTCCACTGCTAATTGCTTTGGTTAACTTCAAAAGCACACTTGGACTTTTGTATCCTGCCTCAACGCTGTTACAGGTGAGCAATGCTGTCCCTTTGATTAAATTGACGTAATTAAATAGTTTTATTTTATGTGTATGCAAATATTTCAGTTGACTGCATCTCTTTCGGTGCCTGTTATCGATTTACCGAAACTACGTCAAATATCGTTGGATTGGGGTTTCCAAATGAACTACGAACTGCCATACAATTTGTCATCATTTTATAATATACCTATTTGGCCAGGTCTAATAGGTAATGTTCAGAGACGTAGTTTAGCCAACTCAAAGCAATTAAATTTACTCTATGAAGAGTTTAATAATGAAACACTAGGACTGGATCCATATGATTATGATTACTCTGCGGGTGAAATCTATAGAGGTCTGCAAGATGTACTAATAGGGTAAGAAATAATTAAAAAAACAAGAAATATGAAGTAATATGACTTTTACTAAATATTTTAGTATAGTAATTCTAATAATATATAACACTGGTTGTGGTTGCGTTTTTTTTTTATACACTTGGGTTGGTTAAGTTTGAACAAAAAGTAAGAAAAGATTTTATTTAATTGAATAATTGATAGTGAGGTTAGGTTAGATTGGAATGGGTTTCACACCAAATAATTGACTTTTCACACCAAATAAATAATACTTTTTTCTTTTTTACTCTGGTTGTCGTTTTAAATTTTTTGTGCATAGCAGCATAGCACATACCTTACATATCACTGTCACTAAAAAAAAAAAAATAATAAAAGCTATCATAGGTGTTGTTAATATCATTGGGGACATTTAAAAGAGAAATAATAATTTTTATATCATTGAAGTATAAATAAAGACGATCTATAATAGTAGTATTATATCTAATAGGAAAATAGTGATGAAAACAAAAAAAATAAATAGCAACTAGAGAGAAAAATAAAATAAAACAATTAATACTGCACATTATAATAACACAAATAACATAGTTACTTATGCCTACATGAATCTCAAATAATGTGTAATTTTTTTTATAGAAAAATGGGGTAATAGTTAAGAACTTTTCAAAAAAAAAAAAGATTTTTTCTTAATTTTTGATTCAGTGAATTTTACCACCAATTTCTGGACTGAAAGTGTCAGGAATTATTTTTTATGGAAATGAAAGCTTGTCATATTTATTTCTTTTTTTACTAGAATCTAGAACTAGAATTTATATTCACATTATCAATATTCAAATAATAAAATAAGTATATACAATGTGTTTCGTAAGGACGTGTTTTAACTATGAGTGCTAATTGCCATAGTTCAAACAACCAAACAAATTGTATGGGCAGGGGCAACCACCCGTTTTGACTATGTACCGAGATATAAGGAGTCAAAGCCAACCAACCACAAAAAAAAAACAAAAAAAAATAGGGGTCGAAAAATTCATCATATCTTAAAAATAGTTGATTCGAATTACATATCAGTTTTTGGTCTATCAAATATCCCTTAATTTGATATCTGATGGATTATAATACTTTAATAGGCTCAAAAGTTATAGTGGTCGTATTTTGATCTTTTTGGAAAGCTTTTAATAATTTTTACCGAAGAGGTTATTTTTCATAAAATATTAGCTACCTTGATAAGTATTTTTTGCTTCTATTTCAAAATGTTTTCCTGTAATCGTCTTTTGAATTGACCCAACTACTGGAATCGTTTCCTGAGATTAAAGCCCTTGGTACTAAATTCCTCTTTAGAAAGAATTGTTATAAATAAATAAAGTTGATTTTTCTTTCTTAATTAAAGTTATGGATATCATTCAAGTTGTCTTCAACGTAGCATTTGCGAACTAAGCCAGCATCCATTTGCCGATACTGAAAGCAATTATTTAACTGAAATTCTCACATTTATTTTGAGGTAAGAATTAAACAAGTTTTTAATAGATTAAAATTTATAAAAATTTATTTATTAAATAGTCCTACACGGCATAAAAGCTTTAAGAGTATTGAGTGGGAGGAAAAGCAATCTTTCGAAATGGCAGAAAAGTATGGATTTGAAGGTAAAGAGTGTGCAGAGATTTATAGGGAGTGTAATGAGAATATTTTTGATCAAATTTCTAAAGTTCATTTTTTTAATTAAATAAATATTTGGATAGAATAAGTATCATCAATATAATTTGTGCATTTTTATTATATTGCCTTAAATTCTATAAGTATTATCGATTAGTTACTGTATTGAATTTTTCTAATGGTTCAACGAAATCGATAAAATTAAATATTATTTAGGATGATGACTTAAAAACATACTTTAATTTGATGCCTAATAGGTTACTGTACTAAAATGTGTTCAAAAATAGTAATGGTTCAAAATTGATTTTATTGGGAAATTTTCGATAACTTTTTCAAAAATCCAAAAATTTTTCTCAAATATTTGTTTCTTTTTGGTATTAAAAACTTTATTCTCTAATGGAAAGTTTTTTTTAAAAAAAAATTATCAATCTATTAAGCTTTGGTTTTCGTTAATTGGTCTACTCAGTGACCCACCCACTATTTATAAGCTTTAATGTAAGAACATCTACTCTGAGAAGTTTAAAGAAAATATTAGTTTATATCAGAATGTCGCTCCTTTAAAAATTACATTTCTTTAAAATTTTTTTTTTTTATTGGTTTTTTAAGTGTTTCATTGGTAATATTAAAACTCTTGTAACTATTTTAAGTGATATAGCAAAATAGATGTATTATAGATTGTTGAGTTTTTAAATTATAATATATATAATATAACTACAATGGTAAGATCTTATTTCACAAGAATATTACCTACATCGTCTTTGAACTGTTATTGACAGCTTTGTATGTGAAAAAAAAACACTTTACATAAACAGTATGCACATAAAATATTTAATTAAAATATTTACATATTTAAAATTTTTTTTAATTAGCCATTTAGAAATAATACTTTTGAAAATGAGTTCAATAAATCCATAGTACAATCGGCATAAATTTTATTGCAATCTTCCCCAAGGAAACCACTCATTTCGGCAGTTTCATAAGCTTCCCGATATATTTGTTCTGAAGTATCAAAACCTTGGTGAAGTGACGGCCTAACAGAAGTGAAATAATTGAATAATAATAATTTATTAAAACATAAATTATACATACGTTAAGAAAAATGTTACGATGTCGGTGACAATATTTTGGTGTTCATCATCAAATGGATGTTGCGCTAAATTACAGACCGTCTTCAGTACACATGTTTCATGAAAGCCATAACTGTTGTACAATAAGTTATAATAAAAGTGATTTTTGTTCTTAGGTTGTATTTTATGTAATTATTATAATGCGGCTTATTTATAATAAATGAAAAAATGTGAGTATAATGGATAAGAGGGATAAGAATATTAATTTTTAGTTTCGATTTTTAAATATTGGACCTTACAACAGAGTTAATATGATTACATTCCAATAATATACGAACACGTATTAACCACTTTACTGATGTAAAATAATATTCCAAATAAAGAAATGTATTTTTTAAGCACTGTATATAAAAATATTTTTAATGTTTGTCTATTTGTTTTTTTATTTTAAATTTTTATAAATTTTGAGATTATTAATAAATAAAAAACTTCAATTACCCATTAAGAAAAAGAAGCTCACAAGGAATATATTTTATTAATTTTTATGTTTTTTCAATGCACAATTTTTTTTATATTCTTTTTTTGTTATTTAATGTTTTGTATTTAATTTTTTATATATAATATAAACAATAATAAAATTGGTATTACACATTAAGAATAGGAAGCTAAAAATAGTGTTTTTTTTATTTTTACTTTTAATTTCTCAAAACATTAATAAAGTATGGTTTTGTGTTATACACCATTATTGGTTAAAAAGCAAGAAGCCCTTAATAAAATATAATTTAATAATTATAATATATTTAAATATAACTATTTTTTGTATAATTTTTGATTAAAATTCCTTTTACTTACTTAACTAAATAATCCTCAATACCTTGGTAGAGTTCGCCAGCAGAAAAATCATTTGGATGGCGATTGGCGTCGGTCTTTTTATCATATTTTCCGTAGAGCTTCTGTAATTTGGTTACACTTTTTTCCTGAATTTCACGTTTTGATTTGGGATTTTGAAATCCAGGCCAAATAGGTATGTTGTAAAATTGTGCCACGGTATACGGTAAGTCATAGCCCATATTGAAACACCAGTCGATAATTAATTTACGTTCGGGAAGTAGTTCTGTTACTGGTACAGACACCGAGGCAGTAAGCTGTATACATTAAATATTTTATATTAACATAACATGTATGATATATAAAATGTTTTCTCAAATAAAACTTTAATATCTTAGTTAAATGCTCACTTACACCTAAATTAGAGGAAGCGGGGTACAATAAGGCCTCAATGTAAGGCACATAACACAAAATCAGCCAATACAGAATCTTTTTCATATTTTAGCAATTTAGAAAGATGATTTGTAACGATAACTTTAATAAACCTGAACCGTCAATTGTAAACTGAACCAGTAAAAATAATTGTCACAACAAAGAAAATAAAATTTCGGTAAATTTTACATATAGAGAGTAAAATTTATTAAGCCTTCAAATTTAGGTTACTAGAGTATTGAATAAATAATTTCAATAATATTTAAAATCAATATCAAGATTATCATTGTATGGAATTATTGATTTACTTACACTCAATTCCAGTTTGAATTCTAGATAACAATTACAATTGTCAACAGATTGAAAATGAACTAAGTCAATAAAATTGATATCTTATTCTCATCTTGATGAAATAATTTAACAAGTCTCTGCAGTCTAATAATGAAATTTAAATCGTCTACTTGTGTCGAAAATCTCTAAACATAATTAATGAAATTAAAGCTGTGTAAAAGTTTGGTTCGGTCCATAAACTAAAATGCATTCAGTTATCGTTCTTTTGGTGGTATTGTTTGCCCTGAGTGCAAAAGTGACAAGTGAAACTGAGTTTTCGATTGGAACTAATTTAAATAATTTTACCACCAGAGGTATTACAACACTACGTCCAATTGTGGAGCGTGTTTTTTCGCGAAAAAAACGTTTCCTAATTTTACCAAAAGGTTCCTCGTTTAAATGTACCATACAGGTATCAAAACGTCTGTTGGCACAATATCCAAGGGGTTTAAATTTTATATATGAGGCAGCAACATACTATCCTGCGCCGGCTTCACGCGAGGACTTACTTCCGAAGAGGTTTAAAAAACCTACCACACCAAAACCTAAAGGCAAACCACAAAACATTTTAGTATGTATACCTGGTTCAACAGTTTGTTATAAAGGAAAACCCGCCGCAAAACCAAAACCGTTAGGCGGTATTCATTTTAATAAACCGGTTCCGGTTAAACCACAAGCGGTTATTTTTAATAAGCATAATAGTTGGGACCAATACAGCAGCCCAAATTATGTACATAGTTATAAATGGGCACCATCGCATCATCAATATTATAGTTGGCAACCGCCATCACCTTCACCTTCTTGGTCAAGATGGAGTACACAATCACCTACAAAAAAGTGGTGGAAAGATTCTCCTTCTTCAAAGGATTCATGGTCAAGATGGGATACTCATTCACCAGCGAAAAAATGGTGGAACTCTCCAACTTCTGCACCACACTCTTGGTCAAGTTGGAGTACACAATCACCAGAGAAAAAATGGTGGAATTCTGATGTTAATAATAAGTATGATAAATGGAAAACCAATAAATGGTCAACTAATCACAACAGGCGGTGGGAACGTGACATGGAATCGAGCGAGTTAGGGAACTTTCATGAACCATACATTGATGCTGAAACAAGTTTTGACGCCGTTCCTACACATTTTTCGGATTTAGAACCGTTTGAGGATTGGAAACATTTTCACACTCATCGTGATCGTAGACAACTCTTTCATCATTTTGAGGGATTTAGCAAAATGTAAGCTATTTCATTATATTTTTAAATTTGTAAGTATTCAACTGTACTGTATATTACTGTATATTAATATTTTTTGATTACTGCTTTTTGTTTATAATTTATTGATTATTAAAAAATCTGCTCTAGGAAATTTCATATCAAATACTTTGTCGATTATTTAAATTTACTCTTCAAAATTGTTATAAAATTTTTTTAAAAAAATGTTTTTATTTAATTAGTACATAACCAAAATATTAAGGATTTTTTAAGAAAAGATATAAAAAGGGTCACAGTCAATATTACGAGTTAGTAATATTTAATAGTTAGTACATGAAACCGGTTCCGGTTAAACAACAAGCGGTACTCGGTTATTTTTATTACCGAGTATTTTTGTGCTTCAGTGATTTATTCAGAAGGTCTATAAATAAAGATCTTAAAATTAATACTAATGCAAATATAATTTTCAACATATAAGTTAAAGCGTATCTAACTATTATAATAATTATTTTAAAAAACTGGCTATACTATTATTGTGCTCCAACATATCTTTTTAAATATATATGTCTATTGAATGTTTTAGTCTTTTATAGTAAATGTAGAATACAATGTACGGATAGTGAGCAATATGTATAAATGTGAGCAATTAGAAATAACGTTCCTCTACTAATTAAATTATACTTCTCACAATGAAGTGTGCTACTCCAATTCCAATAAATCTATATTTTGCTAGAATGGTTATCTTAAACTTAACACGTTGAATGCAAGCTAAAAGATACAAAAACTCGTAGTCCTATACAACTGCACGAATTATAGTATACAGATATATGTTTTTATTTCGTGGTTGAGAAAGCAAAATAAATAAAAAATATTTGTGACTGCGATTACAACCAAATTTTTATTTTAATACATTGTTTGAACCCAATATCAAGCAAATGTGTTCCACGCAATATCTTACAGGTAATTCGAACTTTTTAAGGTAATTTTTATTTATATTATATCGGGCATACAGCTATCATACCTCCTTGAAAACTATATGCACAAGTATACGTTACTCTGCTTTACTCCACCAAAACACTTCTTTGGTGACAAATTGCATGATTATTGTGACCATACCAAGGAGTCATTTTTAGTGTATACAGTGGTTTTCGACAGTTATTAGTGGATTTTCTCTTTTCTGGATATGATAATTTTGTTTCTTAACAAAAATCACCACATGCTTAGTGAGTTTGTACAATTTACCACAGCCAGCGGTTAGGAAACGATTCATATGATATAAAGAAAAACCTAAAGCTACTTATATGTTGTATTAGATGACAGATCTGTTTGATGTATGTTATTGAAGTTAATGAAGTCCTATGTTGTTGTCAAGTCAGAGCCACGAAATGGATAACCTTTTTTTGTACCGTATACGTTGGCACAAGTAAATTAAAATAAAAAAATGAAATAATATATTATTTTAAAATATGTTTAATTAAACTATTGAATAAATTTTAATAATTAATTTTCAATAAATATTGTTTTCCTTAAGTCTTGGAATTGACATGAAGTCCTGCATCATGCGCGCAATATGTGATAGTAAGCTGTTGTTGCTACCGCCAGGATATTCCATGATACATGATATATTGCGTGTGGTTTTTAAGTAAGTTTATCAGTTACCAGAGATGAATTGAAGTGAAATAAAATCGAGAAAATAATTTCTTCATTAATTATCATTACAGTTTTCCTACCATAAGCGGTTTAACAGATGACTACAGTCGTACAATGCAATCCGATTTCGATACATGTGACAAAAATTTACGCGAACTTTGTCCTTTCAACCTTTTGGAAATGCTTATGAAACCAGCTAAAGGAAGTTAAAGTTTAACATTAAAGAATATTACATATGTACAGGGATATTGAAATAATTTATGAACAAAGTTGAACTGATATGCTTCAGTGGTTTCATTCAATTTAAGGTTGCTTTATTTAAAATTAGAAAATTAAGCCTTTAAAGTTTATATATATAAAAGAAAATGGTTTAGTTGTTTTGTTAGTAATAATAATAAAACTAATTATAATTTTTAATTTTTTTAATTTATTGTTAAGATCTTTTAACGAGACGTCAGATTTCAGGTAATACAGCAATACGAAAATAATTTTTTGTTTGGTTTATTGGGTTTATTTTATTTTATTTTATTTTATTAAGTGTTTTGTTTTTATATTTCTTTTTATTTAATTAATTTTTTTTTTTATATATTTTTATTTAAATGTTTTATTTATTTTTTTTTTATTATATTTTTTTTAAATCATGATTTAAAATTTCTATCAGTACATATAATATTTAATAATTTCATTGTGTGATCTACAGATTTTTGAAAGAAAATTGATGATAATCTTTATTCATTGAAATCTTCACCAATTAATATATTTAATAAACGCCATATAATTTTTTCTTTTTATTTTTTATTCAAGTTTTACATAACTATATATCACATATCTTAATTATGCTACAAAATGTGATTGCCATAAAGAGTTTGTACACAGTTCGTAACGTTCCATACAACTTCCTTCAAAAGAATTGGCTTCATCGTAGCGTTGCGCTATATACGGTACACGATGTTTTTGCAGATCCTCATCTAAAGCTTCAGGCATTGTAAAAACGGCTCGCATTAATTCTCCTATGAATGTACCTGGTACTTTCTCACGAGATTTTTGACCTGTTTCACATAAGGCTCTAAGAACGCAATGGTGGCCATTTAATTTAAGCCTAAAAAAAAAGGAAATAGTTGTATATATTAAAAGGATTTTAAAAAGTAAATATAGATACTTTGAACTCGTAGAATTTATGTTTTTAGAGTGAATGTGAATATGTTAAATAGGATTTTTTCAAAAATATTGTCACATATTAATTCGTCATTTAAATATCTGCTAATATACTGCTATATATGTTTTTGTTAATGGGTTGAGTTTATTTAATTCAGAATTATAGTGATTTTGAATCCCATGAATTCTTTTCTCCATATATAATATTTTATTAGGAAGAATATTATATATACGATAAGAAAAGAAATTTCTTGTTTTCTTTGTGTGATATTATATATTTAAAGTTAAAGTCATTTATCACTTGAAGTAAATAAAATAACAGCAAAAATATGTTTACCATATGTTAAGTTATGGTAATATAACTTTAACGTGTAATAATTAGATAAAATACAATAGCGTTTGTGAGAGACATTACAATCGACTCCTTGTAATGAAACAATTAAATTTTTAATGATATTTTTAATCACTGCCTGATTCTCCACAATACTACTAGCTCAACGTCTATGTTGGCCAGATTTTGGTAAGATTTTTATATATTCCAATGCAAAAACGTATTATTATCAAATTCCGTCTGTAAAAAAAGTGAGAATGTATGCAAAAATCTTGCTAAAGGCTAGCCAGTTTAGACACTGGGTAGTGTCTGAAATTATTTAAATTATAAAATTTGTTAAAGCATAATTGCAATTGATTAGATATAATTCAGATAAATAATAACAAATATTTCAACTTTTTTTATTTGAACTTTTCTGGAACATTTTATTCACAAAAACATTTGAACATCACAAAAACTAATTTTCGTAATTCGTAAATAGCTATCACCTCATTTATAGATTTTTCTTATTTATAAAAAATTTTAAAATTGATTTTTTGTAATAGTTCCATACAAAAGAATTCAAGTAGAAAAAAAATAAGAAAATATGATTAAACCAAATTACATTACATGAAATTGAATGAAGTTCTCTTTGTAAAGTATTTTTGTGTCCCATACAACGGCTATGAGATACTTGCTTATTGATTTATCGACATAGCACTCAGAGTCTTAATAAATTTCAAAGTTGTCATTTTAAATGAAATTGTTTGTTTAATCCGATTTGTTTGTTACTCAAATGTTTTACGTTATCATTTAATCTTATAGTAATTTGAGTAATTGGAAATGTTCAATCCTTTATTATCAAATAAGTACTAAAGCTTTGTGTCCTCGTTCAAAATGCTTACCACTTTTGTGCGAATATTTGTTGTCTTAGGTTTTCATCTTCAATTGCTTTGTTCAACTAATGCAATCTGTGAACGCTTTTACAATATACGAGTTCACAAGTTCACAACACAGAATATATATATATACATATGTATATTGCTGTACTACGTATATTTCTCAAAAACGAGAGTCCGGTGCTTCAAATAATTACTTGGAGTGAGATATTTTTTCAATTTTAAGCAACAATATAAGTTCACCTATTACATAGTAAGAGAAAACCATAATGTGTGTTGAAAGTTTTCGAACTATGGAAACATATTATATTATATTTATAAATGGATTTAGGATCCTTGCATAACTTTTATTGAATTGATTGAGGTTTGGAATGTTAAACGATATTAACATAGATGGTTAAAAATTACAGAATTGTAAATATTATTAAATTCATATATATTGTCAGTAGAAAAAGAAAACTAGACTTTGTACTAAACTATATTTACTACATTGTAGCATTGTACTATATTAAATATCTATCGATTTTATTATTATTTTTTTATAGCGCGGAAATATATTCTCATTGATCTTATTATGAAATTGATTTAGCTTAATAGAAAATAATATTGATAAATTTTTGACAAGTAATTTATTTATATAATTTTGGGCTCATTTGGCGATAAGAAAGTCAACGTAGAAACCTAAAACAATAAATATTCCAAATGTGAAAAACATCTAAGGCGAAAATACCATTATGACTGGGTCAGGCAGTACTGAAAGGCAGGCAGGCATATTCCAATATTCCCAATATTGTCTTTTTTTCTTAGTAAAATAAACCAAATTTGTTCTTAATATACTTATCATATTTATATAATATGAGTATAAGTAAATACGTATAACGTATCATTAATCAAATGTTGATATATTAAATTAAAACAAAATACTAAGTCTCTAAAATAAGTTTTACTTAAAGATTTTCTACGTTATAAGCAAAAGCATTGAAATTTGCCAAATGATTTTTTATGAAAAAATTCCAAATTTTTAAAATTAACAAAGTGAGTTGGTTAGATCGCTCTTTAGTTCTTCGTATATGTAACCATTATTACTATTAGAAGTTTCTGAATAAGACACTTAATTATTTATTTAATTATTTTGAAAATGGATTAAAGGAAACTAACCCTTTTTTGTATTATCTTAGAACTAACATAAAAAAAAGAAAAAAAGAGAGATAAATAATATTAAAATACAATAATCAAATTATTAAATAATATAGCAAAAATATTATAAAATTTTAATTATAAATAAATAAATTATTAAGATTAAGAATTTAGAACAGAGAATTATATATTGCAAATAGAAAAGATATAAAATAACAATTAAAAAATATTAATCAAGAAATATAATTACGTGTCAGAACGGGTGATATCAAGATAATTCATTAATTATTAGTTTTTTGTAAGCTCCTATTCTATTTGAGTTTCTGGTTACACATGATAGCAAATTCCATATTCTGATCGAATGGATTAAGAAAAAATTTATAGTGGAAGCAAACTTAAATATGAGAATAATAATAAAAAGAGATCTATTGGATTGTGATTGTTGCAATGAATTGAAAATATATTTAGATAATTTAGGATTAACCAATTTGAACAGAAACTAACAGACTTGAATCTTCATAAATTGTTCAATGTCGCAACCTAAGATTGCGTTCCTGTAACTACCCAGGTGAACATATCTTCTTAGACCGTAAACATATCGCGTCATGAAATTGATTAAGCTTCTTAACTTAACAAGAGGCACCGCATATAATTTAGAATAAACTAAAGAAAAAACATAAGAAAGTTTTTTGTTTTGCCAAGGGATTGTTTATTGTTTTTCAACAACGGTTCTCTAAGTCAAGCTTTTCTTTTCTTAAATGAAAAAATTACTTCTCGAGAAAATGGTTTCTCTTACAGACATCTAGAAGGAAAACAATATTTTATAGAAAAAACTTAATTACATATGATTTATTTCATTTCTTGTGTTCCAAGGAATATCCTCTAAATCTTATTTATTTGGAACGGAGATTTTCTTTAAATTCAATATAGCAATCATCAAAACAAATGAAATAGTATGAGTGAAGTAATGCACTCTTAAAACCATTGTGCAAGGGATATTGTGCAAGAGATGTATATATCAAGGGATATTGTGATTATAGAAAATATCTTTGTTGAAATATTTTAACCATATTAGTTTTAATTTTTAATGAAAAATTATAAATATTAATTTATACTCGTATTGTTTCTACAAAGCATCAAGGGTCAAATTAGAAGTACCTGAAGATAATATTAAAAATTCTTTTCTGTAGGGAATGCGAACTCATCATAATATCACTTCGTCCACACTCTCATGACAAATATTTAAACGTTCTTTACATATCAGTAATCTATTTCACGAGTTTTCTTTTCCATCTGTTTTTATGCGTAATAAAAGGAAATTTGCTTTATCTTTGTTACAGGAAATTTACAACTCTTCTGCATCAATTTGCATTTCCGTTTTGTTATGCCGAACCAGATTTAATAATAAAAATGGGTAAATCGAAAGACAGATGACCAATGTACAGGATTATATGTACTTTGAAAAACAATTTTATTCAATTTTTTGTAGTTTTCAATGCAAAAAACAAAACAAAATAAAAGAAAAACATCTATAAAATGTAAATATATAAAAAAAACTGAAATGTGTATAAAGAATTAACTCACTTATCCAGATATTTTTCTATTTTCTCGTAAAGTGTGTGTCTTGTAGTTCGATGATGTCGGATGTGTATTTGATCCAATTTGCTTAGTTCAGATCCTGCAATACCGCTGCGACGTCGCTTGCGATTATGCTGACGTGTGTTGTGCTTAGTGTTGTGAGTGGCAGAGGATGTACTGCTGTCACTGGCAGCATATGAATTGCGGTCATCAGATACGCTACGCTTTCCGAAAATCGGAAAAATGCGATGTTTTCTGGCTTGTCTATGCGAATACCTTTGCTGACTACGAGCTTTGGAATCGAATTGCAAAAAATTTTGCTTTTGATTTCTTGCTTGTATCTTAGCATTTTTAGTTTTATAATAGCTCTTGGATGTTGCTGAAGTGGCAGGTATTGAGTTTGTATACGAATTTTTACGTCTTGAATTTGACAATCTATTAAATAAAATGCATTTGAAAAATGGAGAGTTTTTATTAGAAAATTGCAGATTTTAATATAAATATATCAGATTACTATTAATTCAAGATATTCAATATACACACCTAGTAGGTAAATACCACCAAGGATATTTCACAGCACTACTTTGCGCGGTACTACCTTGATTTTGATATGTTTTAGTCCATTTTGTAAAAGGATTTGGTTTTGGTGTGTAATAGTAGCTATCCTTTCGTCGCCAGCCATACTTTTGTTGGTTATTTGTATAAGCATTTGTTTTTGTAAGTGGTCTATAGTATGGTTTATTGCTGTAGTAACTATCCTTGGGTCGGTAAAAGTAATATTTCTGGTGCATTGGTGTTCGAAAAACTGATGGTGCTCTATAATTTGTATAATATATACTTGAATCTTTTCCATTTTTAATATTGTTATTTTGTCCTATGTTTATATACTGCGTTCCTTGTTTTGTAGATATTGTATCCACGTATGTAATATTTGTTATGGTATCATTTCGGCTTATGCCTAGTGTACCATCTGCAAGCCGCTGTTCTATGTCCGATAATACTTCGCTGGGTGGTTTACTTGGTAATTCCCAAGCCAAAGCCACAGTAATGCCAAGAATTAAGTAATTTGTAAAATCTACAACGCCAATAATACCATCCCACACTGCATTCGACAAAAATAATTTGTAATAAATACAAAAAAAAAAACAACAAATTGATAAATAAAACAAAGATTATGAATTTGCACTGTTTAATTTGTAAGTAGTTATGTTAATCAAATTGATATTCTAAGGACAACATAGAATTATTTAAATGTACTGATATCATAAAAAGATGTTGGAGATAGCATTTACAAAGCGAACTAAATTTTTTTTGAACTATTAGTCAAAAAAAAGAAACATTGGTCTGTTCCATGGATTAGATAGAATAACACGTTTGTAAGAAATCTAATTACCTATAAGTTTTTCAAAAGTTTAGAACTAACTATTAGAAAAAAGTGTAGCAATGGCATATTAAAATATGTAAGATGAAAAAAAATAAAGCCAGGAAATCAATTACGGAAAATTTTAAGTAAATATGCTATAAACTGATGGATATTAATTAATGTCGCTACGATTGTGGTGGGCATTATCCGCCCAACAAATTATTTGATGCTGCATTATCCGCAGCATCAAACAAAGATTTGATGCTGCCTACAAGATTTGTGAATAGTGTATTCTGGTAGTACGAAAAGCAGCAGTAGACACTTAAGTTCTATCTCATTTAAAGCTTTTAATTTCAATAACAAATAAAAATATTAGAAGCCAGGTGGGCTATTAATGAAATTCGTTGCGATGATAACACTGGGCTACAAAACTCAAGTATGGTTTACTAAAGACAATAAATTTGTATTTTTTAAAAGAAAAATTTTATATAAACACTTTAAAAGCAAAATTTTTAAACTTCAACCCGTTATTACTGGAAACATACATGTTTAGATAAAAAATGCGCAAAAAATTTGAGTTCAATCACTTCAAATTAACCTACCAAAATTGACAAATTTAATGTCGCATTGTGTAATTAACAAAAAATGTGAATATTTTCTTTATAAAAACATAATAGTTTTAGTTATTTAGTAGAAGAAAATTAATCTTCTACGTTATGTACCACAATTTCTTTGTTTAAGCCTACTACCTTAAGGTAGTAGGAGAATTGTACTAACTCCGTTGGTAGTAGTGCAAAAATGAATACAAACAACAAAACTGAAATAAAAAAAATGGTTAAGAAACATATATAAAACAGTTTACTTATATTTTTATTCCTAAATTATTCTCATAGGTGGGTTATATTTTCTATATATTAAATATGAAATACAAATATATATATATTTTTAAAATTCCATATATAAATATTTTAATGTAGATAACTTTTATTTCATAATAATTTTTATAAAGAGGTTTTTTAAACAGTATTGAATGCAATAACAAAATTTCATTAATTTTAATTGACCTTGGTTGATGGTTTTGGTTGAATAATAATTTATTAACGTGCCAATTGGTCAATTTTAATAAAAAAAACACTATAATTTATTATTTTTATTTAAAAATAGTTTACATTTTATTAAAAATCATCTTCAGGGAAACAGTTTCCTTGAAGAACTATTTTTAAATATAAATAATAAATTATAGTGTTCTTTTTTCTATTTTAATTGACCAATTAGCCTGTTTATAAATTATTATAAAATTTTTTGGTCACATATAAAAGTATTAAATATTTTTGGTTAAAGTTAAAAATCAGATTTAATATAAAAATATTTATTAAACGTTTATATCGTTTCTTCACACGCCATAAAGTCGATAAGGGGGTTCATTCACGATACGTAAGGAGCCGTTAAATCATTCATCGTAAAAAATGGCCGACGCACTTTAGAATAGTTCGGTTTACAATGTTGCTTTGGTCGGTTCGTGTTGTAGTAAATGAGTATGTGCAATATCGAATTAATTAATATTAAATGAAAAATTTTAAACTATTTAATTAAATTTGTAAACAATGTATCATAAAGTAAAAAAGAAAGTGTTAGTAATAAAATTAAAGCCTTATTTTAAGTTCCATTTATAATGAAAACTTTGATATTGAGAGTACAAATATGTATATAAATTAATGACGAATACATATGCATATATATATTTAATAATTCATATATGTATGTATAAAAATATTAGTAAAGTGAATGTTAAATTAACAATTTAACATGACACAAAGTGAACAAATTTAATTGATTACATGTTGAATTTTCAAAGCTGCGAAAAGTGCAGTTATTCAAAATAAGACAAAGAAACAGAGATGCCACAATTTCGCTTTTAAAAGTGCAAAAAACGCGATGGATTTGATATTATATTTGAAATTTTATTTTGTGTTATCGAATCAGTTTCGAAAGTTATCGTTTTAATAAAAACAATCATGACTACCAAATACCAAACATTAAAAGTGCGCATTTGATTAAAAAAATCAAAAAATCGTAACAACTATATTTTTATTATCATTTGTGATGTCTAGAAATTGATTCATTATTGATTTAATTTATATTTTGAAAATTATGAAATTTGTTGATGCAAAATGCAAAGGTACGTAAGAGTATTTTATTTTTGCAATTATATTATGCTTATATTTAATTCGATTTTACAATGTTATTATACAAAAACAGGAAAAAATATAATATATTAGCACTACTAAGAATAAAATAAACTAAAAATAAAGATAAATTTATATACGTACATATATGTATATATATGTAGTACATGCTTTTTGTAGGTGAAAATTATTTTTTTTTATTTATTTTTTTTATTAAATTTGTTGTCGTAAGAGAATTCCATAAAATTTAAAATATTTTGGATTTGTTCTTCATCATTACTTTGTTTATGGCAAAGTCTTTTACAGTTAATTGTTTCCAATTTACGGTAGTAGAACATAAGATAAAATGGGCCAAAGAATTAATTGCATTCTTATGTATTAGAATATACTTTTGTATTAGAATATATATTATGTATTATAATATAAATACTTTTTTTTTTATTTCTTAAGTTTCTAACGATACTAATCTTTAGTTTACTGGTAACATTTATTTTCTTCGTTCTGTAACTGTTGATACTTTGCAAATTGTGCTAGCCTTTAGTGATATGTAATAATCAGTTTGTATTTGTCAACCATACCTTATTGAGTAAATTATATGTAATCCAAGATAACATTGTAACCAGAAAATTTAGATATTGGCTTTTAACCAATATCCTACTTTAGCAGTTCCGTCATTTGAATGGTACTTGTAGAATAATACTTGAATTCTAGCAACTTAATAAAGGGTTATTCTTTTCGTAATTGTAATTCTTTTGCACTAAATAAATGTAATTCTTTTGCACTAAGTAAATAACTCTCAAAACTGTTATCTGCAATTCTTCCACATGCTTCAACTCTTTAATTATAAAGATTTATTGTCATTAAAGTTTATGCAATCTAAACAGCGATTTCAATTAAAATATAGTTATGTAGCTGAGATTCTTGTTTTTTTATCAGATTTTGTTAATGGATTGCAATAAATTTTTTAACCACGTTTTCATTTCACCGCACAAATTATATTTAAATCATATTTCACATTTGCCAAATATCGTGCCTTCAATACTGAAAAGCTCTACATTATTTTATCTATATTAGAAATTAGACGGTGACTTAAAAAGATCATAAATATCTATTTACAGCATAGTAGATTATCGATTCTTTTTTAAATTAGATTTTCCTATTTTTAATTTAGATTTGAATTTATTAGAATACATAACTCACTTAATTTGCAAGATTGTGATTCTCTATGGGTTTCCGCCATAGAGGAGATTAATGATCCAAAGCTGAATGATCTGACAGCTTACCAAAATATTAGTAACTGGAAAAAATGCTGATATGAATATATGATGCAATTAACTTTGGTGAAGAAACACGGAAGTAAAGCAGATAATAAATTATAAAAGATGTGTTTTTTTTGGAACATATGTATATTAATATATTTAATGTATTATTTATTATCCCGTCCATAAAGCTTCCTCGAATACTAGCTGAACTTACAATTGACAAAGTTACATATTGGGCCAAAGATTGGGAAGATTGGATCTTAAATTATTACACAATAATATTATAAGTTTATGCAAACGGAGTAAACACAGTTCCTTTGTCACGAATGCTAGGTCCAGATCTCAAGATCTGAAGGCGGTCTTTTTAAACTGAACGGTAAAGAATTTAATATATCTAAACGTGATTGTTCTTTGTGTAATGGTTATGAAATAGAAAATATATGGCATATTATTGGTGTATGTTGTATAAATTTTTAAAATCAATAATAAATAATAATAATAAATAATAATAATAAATAATAATGATAAATAATAATAATAAATAATAATAATAATATTTATTGAATAAAATAAGTGGTTCCTTTGAAGTGCATATGTAAGAGTGTATGTGTTCAAATAAAATAGGAATAAAAAATAAGACATGTAGTTTTGAATTTGTTGAGCTTTTTAACACATAGATAATTTTGTTCATAATCTGCATGAATTTTGAATTTGATTTTGTATTAAAATCTAATATTCGTACAAATTTAAATAATAAACTCACTGTTAATTAATTTAATTTGTTAATTTATTTTATAAAATCATAAACTTTGGCTGCATGAAAATTACTTCAGTCCGTGTGTGAAGTTTCATTTGATTAGCTTAGAATCTGAGAAGTTGGTTTATCGACATTCAGATGACCAAAACGTGTAGATGGATATGTCTAACGCTGATCAAGAGTATATATATGAGTAAGGCTCATAAGGTGTTCGATGTTTTGTTCACTCTGTAGTATATAGCTGGACAAACATTAATTGTGTGAATCTTTTATTCATATTAATGTGAGAGATAAAAACAACAAGCAATAAACAAAAAAGTAATAATTATAATTGAATATTTTATAAATACAAAATGAAATAGATAAAAAGAAAATATAATATAGAATATTCATAAATTAAATTTATTTCCATTAAAATAAATTTTTTTCACTGCTTCGAAATAAATTCCAATTTTCTCTTAATTCAATAAAATTGCATAAAAACGAAAATTTGTTATAAAATCATTTTCCATTACATTTCGATATACACAAAAGAGAAACTTTTATAAAAAAGTTATTAATTTTATATTATATAATAAAATATAGCAAAATGTTCATATTTTTCATATTTCATACAGAATGTAAATAAATAATAAAAATCGAACAAAATAGCGAGTAGTCGTATGGAATGGACCTAAATGGCATATTTGGTTTTGTGTAAAAGCACTCACCCAGCTGAAAGGAGCTACCCTCGGGAAATATTAAATAACGTCGTTTGCGCGACAACAGCTTTTCCGTAGAATTTTCATTTTTCAGTTTTTCTGACAAAAGTTGTTCGAAATCATTTTCATTTAGAGTTGCACTAATTGCCGCTGCACTGTCATACTGTTGCACATTAGCGAAATCTACATTTTTCCCCATCATTTCCGGCATGACTGCGTAGGTGTGGTGTCGCCATGTTGCTAATATGTTCAGCAACATTAAACATTTACAAAGTTTCATTCGGAGAATACAATTTTAGTTAAGTAAAAATTAAACGCAAATTAAAAAAATATTTTATTTTCAGTTAAATTGACGCGTTTTGTTTGAGCAGCAGCGAGCAATTTGTTGAATATTGTTAGGAGGATTTTTTCTAATGTTTTTTTTTGTATTTTTGTATTCTCAAATATTATTTCAAATGCTTAGAACTTCGGTAATGGCTTGTAGGAGCAGCATTGGCAAAAGTTTTAATTCACTTGCAACACTTCGTTGTAAACTCAGCGTCGTCACATTTACAACTGTCAAGTTCAGTTTGTCTAAAAATTTTTTTCTTGTGGTGCCAACGAATGTTGTTAATTGCTTCAGCATTTGTTCTAGTTTCTTCACTAATTTTTTATTTTATTGTAAATATTTTGTTTTAAGTTTGTTTTTTCCATTTCATGTTCTACTTTAGCTCAAGCGATGATTTTAAAAATTTCTACTCGTAAAACTTCTGCAAACTTCAACTCTTGTTGGTACTCTTAATGGGTTACACAACTTTGTCTTTTATTTGAATATTGTGGGCTTGGGTTTAATTTATTTTATTTTCATTTTGTTTTCCTATCACTCTGGTTAATTTCAGTTCAGTTCAGTTTATTTTATTTTGTTTTAGTTGCCTACATTAAGTAACTAACGTTCTATTACAAATGCTTTTGAATAACTCATGGCAACTCTGCCAGTAAGAAAAGTAGTTAAATGGTAGCTGTGGTACGTTTAGTGTGTATATTTTAAATAAAATTTGCAATAGAATAAAATGTACAGAATATAGTACTATATAGATAAATTAAATTGTTTTATTTTAGAAATATATGTAATAAATACATATGCAGTAGTTTCTATAATGAGCACCTTTAAACATTTATATTTAGGGTACAATTACGATCTTCGGAGCACCACGATTTGACAACAGTTTTAAACAAAATTGGCTATGTTGAGTGACTTTATTCAATATGCATAAATGGTCTTTAAAGTTTAAAAGTTATCAAGCTGCAAAATTTTTACTTTAAAAGTTCTGAAAGCGGTGATGATTCGCTAATTGATCGTTTAAATAGAAATAAAAAAATTATAATTTATTAATTATATTTAAAAACAAATTATATTTTATTAAAATATTTTTCCTCTATTTTGACAACAACATATATTTGCATTCGGTTTAAAAAAGGAATACAGTAAAGGCTTACAAATTAGAATTGAATTGTCTAGAAATAAGAACCAAAAAATTGCAATACAGTGAATGCACTATAAGCTCTTAAAAAGAACTTTTGGTTCTAATTTTTAAGCGAATTCTCTTTCTATTTTTCATAAGTTTTGTATTAGTAAGTTTTGTGTGTATTAGTAAAAATATGTGTTTAAATGGTTTTTAAATGAGCCTGAAAATAAGTGTACACTTAAAGGACCAATATTCAAAACGAAGGCTTAAGTAATTTTTGTCTGAAGTATATTCTGACAAAAATGCATCAGCTTTTAAAGTAAGTTATGGATGGCTCACAAACTAACAATAATCGTAACGATATCATTGTAAAAAAATTGACTAAACATAAAAAACAAACATTATTGTATATTTTAATACAATAATGCTTAATAATGATTGATTTCAACTGTAAAATAAAGTTTTTATGTAGAGTTTTAATTCTTTGATGATTTTTTATAGAAATAAATAAAGTCCAGAAATTAAAACTTTTCGCAAGTTCGAAATACCCGAAAAACCAAGTGGTTCTAATTTGTGAGCTTTACTGAATTTGTAAATGATGCTGTTTGTTTCTCACAGAGTATAAATTCGCACCGATGCCAGTCTAAACTACACATAAGAAAATCGTACAAAGAAAGTTAAAAATAGAATATGACACAAATGGATTGATTATACAGATTTTCTTTATCTTTTTCGGTCCTCTATCTGGGAAGAAATTTTCGCTGAATGCGAGAAAATCCATTAATACTAAAACTATATAGACTTATTTCATTCAATGAATAATGGAATCGAAATTATTGTAATTAAAACTAACATATAAGAGTAATGGGTATCAATATCTAATGGGGATGAGGCAGCTAAAATATGAAACTATTGAAATGAAAAAGGAAATCAGTTTATTGATGTAATAAGCACCTGTTAGGCGTTGACCTTTGTGATATAATGGGTGAAGTAAAAAAAAAAACCATCATTTTTGTATGAAATTGAAGGCTTATTTACCATAGTTGGAATTATCCGATGAAGATCAAATACACGCCATTTTATCCAATAACTTGTTATCATTTTGATGGTAATTTCATTATTTCTTTCTCATAGGGATCCTCATCCCTATTGGCAAAAAATTGATACTGTTAATTTGAAGCTAATTTTACACCAGAAAAATCGTTCGCCATAGACAGGAACATGTAGTAATCACTTGGTTGTCAGGTCTGGACTATAAGGTGGAAACATAAGAACTTTTGGCGAGTCATTGATGTTGGTATTGTGTATATGTGTGTAATCTAGCGTTGTCCTGATGGAACACAATACCCCTTCTATTGCCCAAAGCTGGTAGTTTCTGTCCTATTGTTGATAGTAGAGTTCTAAGTTGAGTTTTGTAGTAGAGGAGCAGCTTATAGTTGATGATTCCTGTGAATCCCACCAAACACATAGCAAAACGTTTCTGGCCGTCAAACCTGGCTTAGCTACCGTTTAAGCATCCTTTCGAGTCGACTACGACCCTTTTCGCTGGACGTTATCGTAAGTGATTTACTTTTTATTCACTTGTCACCAACCGCTTCAGAAAGGGGTCGATTTTGTTGCGATTTGCAGATAGAAATTCGGTTGATGATATTCGGTTTTTTAGCGTTAACTTATGTGGCGCTTATACATCGAGCTTTTTTTTTGTGTCCAGCCTTATTCAATTGGTTCCAAACAGTTGCTTACATGACGGTCGGACTAGACAATTTCTATGGTTTTAACGACGTTATCAACAAATTGCCTTCCAGTGTGCTGTGCATCTGTGACATAGAATTTACTCAAACAAAGAAAGAAATCTACGACACCAAAATTGTGCATGTTTGGCTGTTATAGTATCAGGATCATAAACATTCACATTTTCAGCTGAATGGCTTGCATTTTCGCCTTTATCAAAGAAAAACTGTAAAATATGGCGTACTCAAACAAAATTGTGTCAACCAATCACTACACTGTCATGAGTTTTTTTAGTACGAAATCTCATCTTTCTAACGCCATTTAGCGTAACCCGATCGGACTTATACAACGCGGGATACAGATAACTAAAGTCATCTTTTGCAAAAATAATAGATTTCTACACTAATATAGAACACCTAATATTACTAAAATTTTACAAAGTCAATAATCTCCGAAAATCTTATGATTTTTGATTTTGAAAAATCTTACGAAATTGGAACATTATTTCTTTCTATTATAAAAAAAGTAATATGTGTCGGTGTAGTCTTATTTTATTACGTTATTATATTCGCACTGCTGTGCACTGTTAATTTTTTTTCTCTTTCTCTATTACACAAAAGTGTAATATCATGCTCGCACTACATATTTCTCTCTATTATAAAAAAAAGTAATCTGTGCCGGAGTACATTTAAGATGCCGTCAGGCTCGTATAACATAATGCTTGAAAATTCCATGAATTTCACATAAGTTTGAATAATTATGATTTTAAATATGTTCTCCTAGTTTAGTCTAGTTGTTTGATCGGTTTTAATATTGATTAAAGCAATTTAAACCTATTTGTTCTTTTTTCCTATTTTTTCTCTTTTTAAATTCATTTAAATTCTCAACGTATCTGCTGAGAAATTGCAAAAAAAGATTGGGTAATTGTAGATGCATTTTTTTTTTTTTAAAAATGACATCTATCTTAAAAATAGCATAACGAATCATGGAAAAAGAAAAAACTGATTCCTCCTCACCACTGCAGTTTTATCATGGATTTCTATTGGTACATTCAGTCTGAACCCATAATTCTATTACGATAGGTAAAGTATGTTTGAATTTGTTATTTCCAGATTGAAAATCAGAAAATGGCATATTAATATCACGAATTAGGTAGTAGGGAAAAAATCTCTTAATTTTCAATTTTATCCGATTTTTTGATATGGTACGTTAACTGGATTTCGTTATTCTATATCATTAATCTATTTAAGCGAATTTGTGAATACATATTATTTTTGATCTCGCATTGGGTTTACGTTTCGTTAATTTTGCGTACCTGAAGTGATGAAGTGATGGTAAAAGTTTAGTCTGTCTATATATACGTACACAGCTTTTACTTGATAAATTTGTGTGTTCGTTTTTAGATCCATTAATCTATTGTGAAGAATTTAATTGTGGCTTACTATGAAGATAATGTTATTGTGATATGTTCCTAAAACGCGTATTACATAAGAGATTTTGTTTGTCAAACGGAATGATTACGGAATGAAGGAATAAATATCTATCCTAGTTAAATCCGATTTTGTAGAGCATTTAGCTTAATTTAGTGGTGCAGATTTGACTGCTTCCTTTATACTCGTAAGTGGAATGAAAAACAGTGATCGGTGTTTTCGTCATTCATATAATACATAATATACTTTGTTTTTAGCTTCGAAATGTAGAATGAGTTCGGTGTTTATATTTACAGTTTGCATATTCATTCCCTTCTATTAGGTATTAATGATAACATAATAACATTAATGGAAATATAAAAGTTGGAAATGCATTATTACTTCAAGATTTTGGAAGTTTTTGGAAGCTTTCTTTAAAGGGAAATTAAAGTTTATTAACTTAAAAATAAAAAATAGACAAATATAGTTTATATTGTATTAGATTATATTGTAAGATTGTTCTTATTGTTCAGTGACATTATTTTATTATATTAGCCGTCATTTTTTCTTTCAGAGTTATGAAAAAACAGCATTAAATCTGATTGAAACTTTTAAAATATGTTAAATGCTTATTTTATAAGGTGTATTCTTTTGATATAAATGCTCCAATAGAACAGCATCTAGATGTTTAAAAATAACTTGGCATCACTGCCTAAAT